CTCTGGTGAAGTAGTGATGTGCCTCTATCCATTCCACGATGTAATCGTAGCAGTACATGTCACCATTGTACCTTCGAGGGGGGAAGAAAAGGAATGAAAAACGGGTGAAAAGAGGCGGAAAAAAGACGCAAAAAAAAAGGGGGGGGTGAACGGGGGAAATGACGTATATGTACTGCACAGAAAGGGCCAATGACGGACTCCATCGAGCCAACGAGACACAGTAATTCTATCCGCAAAATTGGACAAATGTGCAGTCAGGGAGTAAATAACAAGGAACAATGAAATGACACATAACCTTTTGCAAAAATGAACGCATGACAATTAAGCAGACACGTTCGCAGATAACTACGCAATGAAGGTTCCAATGACCATTCAAGAGGGAATGAGCTATTATGTTAGTAATACGCACCGATTTGTGCTCCCTCTTCTTTTTTTTTTTTTGCGCTTTACCTGAAGGCGTTGCTTATTTTCACATCCTTGCTCGAGCTCAAAGCTTTGTAAAGGAGGGAGTTGTATTTCTTTTTATGCACAGATGAGACGTATAGTATAACTGGAAGGGTTTTGATATTCATAAAATTGCACAACTCCTTGGCATTATCAATGTTGAAGGCGTAAAAATCAATTTTTATTTTATTTTCCGCGATTATTCTTGCAACTTCGCGGAAAACGGTTATCAGGTTGCTGCACAAGGAGGAGGGGAAAGAAGTAAAAGGATATAGGGGGGGAAGTCACGAGGACCAGAAGGGTACACACACACATGCATGACGATGTTCCAATAGATCCGTGTGCACTTGGTTACTCGCACACTCGCGCGTGTGTCTGCCCCATGAGGAGCATCCCAAACAGTACTTGGAGTCCGTATCCCACTTGGCATAGACATATAGGACAAAATCGACATCAGTCTTCAAATGTAAGAAATCCTGAAAATAATTTGCGTTTTTGACATTTGGCTTACTATCAAAAGCATATATTTTTTTTGTATCCTTCTTCTCTGTGGTTAACATTCGGTGAAATTCGTGATAACTTAATTCTTTGATTTCACAAATGGCGCTTTTTAAAAGGGCATAGAACA